CAAGAGAACATGGAAATGAGCGTTCCAATCAAAGATACAAGCTCCATGATTCGTTTATACGAGCGAGGGTCTTTGTGACTGGCGACATCTTTCGTGAGTAGCGTGTACTTTGTTCAAGTAATTCTGCTTCTGCGGATAGATGTCACGATTGCATGTCCGCCTACCGGTGACACATTCAATTTCCCACTAACAAGGCACTAGCAATGCATTATTATAGTAATGTATTAAGAACATAATTTTATCAGAAAAATAATGATACGTAAAGCTACGACGTATTGTTTGCAATCCTTGAAGCTATGTATCATTTCTGTTGTTTGTATTTGGGGTTTTGTATCACGTGATTTCGCTGACGGTCTTGTGATGAGAATCGTGATTTTAAACAGGACAAAAATCTGGAATGTAGTTGCTAGAGACACGCGTGCCTATGAGAATGTGACAAGTGAAGACTTATATACGTATTTTAAGTCATGAATCAGGAACATGTTTTCAAGAGGATAAATGGACGAGATCATTCAGAACCTTAGCTCTAAAAATAAAGTAACAGGTATGTATTAAAAAGAGCAATGTTAACTAACTTTGTGGACCAGCATCTTTCCTGACAAGCTGATAGTCGCTAAGTATATCGATAACGTGCCTGTCTTGTATGAAGACAGAAGGTTCAGTACCGTGAAAGCAAAAGTCTGAGACACATGAATCAAGCGTACATTACTATGATCTACTTCCGTAAGATCAATTTTAATATTATCCTCAATCTACGTAAGTGTCACCCAAACTTCTAAAAGGCCGGAGAAATGCATCGTCACATAACGTTTGAATTTAAACTGCACAGGAATGTAATATTTGTTGATGTGCCTGTAAATTCCACAAGCGTAAATACATACACAGAGTTGGTATGCAAAATCTCTTAAACCTCTACACAGCTCACTTGTCTGAGCAGTGAGTTTAATTCTGCAGAAAAGAATTTGAGAATTTTTCAGATGTAATGCGTCTGGGGGAAAGAGAATAGAAGAGGAGAGTTAAAAAGTATTCCTTCCCCATAGACACTCCATCTGTCACCCCCTCCACAAAGAATAGCCAGGGCTGCTGATGGCACCAATGCCTTAACATCTTGGTCCGGCCAAAATCTAAAGCCAACCAGCATTTTCTTGAGGGGACCGAACACGTGGAAACCACACACAGCGAGAGGGCCATGCTGTGTGGGCGTGACGAAGCATGGACAATACGGAGCACGTGGAGGGAGGGATACGGAGTGTTTTCTGCTGATAGTGTACACTTGGTACGACGAAAACTAAGATCGACGCTATATAGTCTGAGCTACTGAAAAACGTCGTTAAATAAACAATAAATAAATAAATAAAAAAACAGGCGCTTGGAATTTTCGAAGGCCCAAGCCGGAAGTGACGCAAACGAACAGCTGGCGTTATAATTACAGTCGTTCGTTTATCCTTTTGTGATCTTTCTATACGTTTTATCATCTACAGTTGACAGACGTCATTTAAAAACAATGATAACAATGTGTCTGCCTAATTATGAAGAAATACGTAAATAAATGTTAATGACTTATCCGAGTCATCCGAGAGCAAAACGGGTGAAAGCTACTGCTCCTCCGTAGATCAGTCGGTATGGTAGGGGACTGCCGTTGATGGTATGATTACGTTGCAAGTACTAAACCCGATTCCTAAATGTTTGTAATGCACGTGTTGTGTTAAAATTGTGAATTTCTTATATTATTTATCTGTATATGTTTAAAAGGCTCCCGTGTGCTGGAATG